GGGTGAGATTATTGATGTGAGATTTATAGGAAAGCGAACTGTCCAGGATGACACCAAGGCTCTTAACCTGAGGAGAAGGGAAAACTGTTTCCCTTCTCCTCCACAGTTTCAATGGTTATCGAAACTGTGGAGTTATCGATGGCTTTAATTTTTCATCATCTACATTTTTAAAAAGAGGAAGTGAATCAACTGTAAGCTTTCAAATTTCCCACTCTATAAGCCTGTAGAACCTGTTCAAATCATAATTTATCTCCACAATCATGATAATATGGAAAGCACAGTAACATACGCAAAGAATGGTTTTATAATGACATAACATTTTTTCCCATATGTACTAAGTAAAAGTGTAGAACAAGTAACCATCATCAAAAAGATATTATTATAATAATTTAAATAGAGAAGTCTGAACGAGGTCCAGGGCTGTGAGTGACCAAAACTTACAACAAGTGTGACCTGAAATGACCATTTGAGTCCATCAAGTCATCAGGAAAGTGCTTATACGTCAGGTCTGGGAGGCCTTTCCCCATAGACACGGGGAAGTCTTTAAAGCCACTGATTATTATTATTTATTCTTTTTTTTTTTTTAATCTTTGAGTTTTGCATGTCTACATACATTAGTCAGAATTTGACCGATTTATGTCTGTTATGACAACAGAAGTCTCTTTGCCACCCACAGGGTGACAGATTCCTTGAACTACTAGGGAAAGCGGCAAAGTTTTAGCTGGAGCCTTGGAAGACATTACTCTCAGCTGGCATCTGACTGGTTATTCAGATGATAAATTGCACCTGTTGTTATCCTGCCACGACCTGTCACAATATTTGCCTTTTGTTTTATGGCTGGTACAGGGTGTGACAAAGCCACAGCATTCCCTCTGATTAAGGTAAAGCGGCCTTTACTAGGAAATCCAAGCAAAAACATGCAAGACAACAAAGACAGAGCATGTCAACAATCACTTCCTGAGGGGAATTTCCTGGAAAGAGACAAGCTGGGCGCCCAAAACTGGCAGTTGAAGAAGTTAAAAAGTAATGTCATTTTCACAGCCCTGTGGTGAAAGAGCACCTAGTGTACAGTATGTGCTGTGGCTGTGATATATGACGCTGTCCCCATTTGTACGTGATGTCTGACATGAACTGGTAACTAAAGAGTACAGCATGTCAGAGATGAGTTACAAATTTAGAGGGGGGCAGATTACCCAAGTCTAGAATTTTGAGAAGGGGGTGGGGGGAATCTTTACGCAGCTTTAAAACACTTTCTCCTCCTACTCCACCAAAAAAAAAAAAAAAAAAAAAAAAAAAAAAAGAAGGAGGAGAAGTCCTCATAAATATTACCATTACAGTATGTAAACACCATGTGGCATAGAATTTCATAGACAACAGGTCAGTTAAAAGCAAAGGGTGCAGCCCCCCCCCACACACACACACCCCTCCCCCCCCTCTTAACAGGCCTCGACTCAGCACTCACACTCATCCTGCAGATTACACGGTGGACTGCAAGCCAAGCTGCTGTTGACAGGCCATTGTCTCCACTCTGTGGACTAAAACCACGTTACCATGGTGCTGATGCATCCGAACATTCTGGCCCAGCCCAGCCATCAGCTGTTGGTGGGGTTCATAGGGGTGAGACATGATGTTAAGGCTAAAGCTTATCCATGGTCGCATGTTGGGACTCAAGACCCCTGGGATTACATAACTATATTTATGACACTGGTGTGAGTGAGAAAACACCTAAAAAGAATCAGATTACAAAGTGCACTGCTGGCCTCTCCCTTGTGATAAGCACAAGGGCTAGCTGTCCTTATAGGTGTGTCACAGGTTTTTCTGTGACAACACAAACAGTACATGCACTAAGATCCACATTTTTTTCTTTTTGATCTTCTAATTTGGGCAGATGATATTCAACAGGCTGTTTCATATATATTAGAGATGGACCGATCCGATATTACGTATCGGTCCGATACTGACCTAAATTACTGGATCGGATATCGGAGAAAAATAAAAAATGTAATCCGATCCATTAAATATCACGAAAGCACCTCACAAAACTTGCAACACACCGTAACTCACCTCAGAACGTTAGCACGTCGGAGCAGTATGCATCACTTGATAGAGCGGCTGTGACATGCGGGACCTGTCGGTGGTCTGGATAGCATGTGGAGCTTCGCTAGCAACCAGGCATTTCATCTCCGACAAAGTTATCCCCGAGAGAAGTAAAGCAAGTGTGTAAGTCCATCTCTGAATGTTTGTAAAGCATTCCTGCGTTAAGCTTAACAAGCGACTGCCTCTCGCTCTCCGGCTGCTACTTCAATCATGAAACTGCTTAACGATCAGCTGATCGGCTTTTCTGTCGCGAGTCCGTCTCTCTTGTTTGTTTTTGGCCCACTTTGCACCAGAAAGAGGAAACCAGCGGCTGAACAACAGCAGAACGTTTAAGCTTGATAAGCTGTTGTTAGAATTTATTTAATATTACTTTCTACTCGAGGATCTTTTTCTACGTAGCTGACGCTGGTAACTGTGCAGGGGCGGATCTTGCAAAGTTTAGCCAGGGGGGCCGATAGGGCATGAACGGGGAAAATGGGGCACAAAGACATACTTTTCTTTCTTATTCTCATTTAAAATGTCGAGCTTTTAATAAATAATTATCTGACACCCAAAGTTTTAATTTGATGTAAAATGAATAGAAGTCAATTACTGTATATAGTGACTATTAAGTCTAATATATATACCCTAGTAAGCTATAGTACTCTTTACTTTGGGAAGGTACCATCTGTGCAGTCTGCAATTTTGTTGAAGAAAGATGTTGAATCTATTTAATATTTCTTGAAAAATAATTGATTTCTGTGCATTTTTTTTTCGCACTGCATCAAATTAAGGTTGATTACGTCGATTAAGCATCATATGGTGGAGCGTGAGGGGTGGTTCCCCATTTTTTATTTATTTAATTTTGTTGTTGCTGGGAGTTGGAACCCTATTAGTTAGGTTGCTTAATATTTACACTAAGTACTCTTTAAAATACCAGAATAGGGAGGATGGTGTAGGTTTAAGTTTATTAGATTGATCAGTATTGCTGAACTATGAAATATTTTTTTTGTATACAGGTATAACAGAATAGCTTTAGTGTAGTTGTTGTTTTAAACTTGAGTATGAACTTGCAGACTTGCAAAATGCAGCAAGATATTTTAAAAAACAGTTTTGTTGGTTAAAAAACACTATATCGGATTCATATCGGTATCGGCAGATATCCAAATTTATGATATCGGTATCGGACATAAAAAAGTGGTATCGTGCCATCTCTAATATATATATTAAAAATGTCTGCCATGAACTCGGGTGGAATACATTTACCATCCAGTGACCAAAAACTGGCAATTTTCTAGCCTTTTTTAGAAGCAGCTAATCTCCACTGGTTGTTCAAAATGATGTGTGTGTGTGAAAACCAGCTGGAAAGTTTGTTTCCTATCCAGCAGACTTTGGCTTAAAATTAAGCAGCCTCTGTGTTCTTACATGCTGCCTCTTGTATCATACTCCTCACCTCCCCAACCAATTTCTTTCGTCATGTGTATAAGGTCTGTCCCCTTGTCGTTGTGGCCAAAAATGGCATGCCAAGTCATTGCATGCTATTTATGTTGTAAAACTTGAATCACAAAAGCTGTCTAGGCAGAGCCCCCCCTCAAGTAAGTAAGCCGGAGTGTCAGCGTTCTAATCACACCACCTTTAAGGGCATGTTTTAGACAGAGGGATGCTAGCCAAGTTGCGGTCAATACTGGACAATCCTTCACACCCTTGTAGCTGTTAGGCACAAGATGGAGAGCCATAGAGGCAAGTTCAGCAAAAGACTCATTCAAACACAGGAAATCAAACTTTATAAATGCTCCTGATGAAACCTAGGTGTTTTTCCACTTATAATATCACATCTATACTGTACATAACATTAGTTTAACTTTGGGACATTTAATTTTAATTTAACATTAGTTTTACTTAATTTTTTTGGGTATTTTTTGGAATTTTTTTTATATATTTAGAGATTTTCCATATTTGTATAAATGAACATCTGTAACAAAACAATTCGCCCTTGGGATTAATAAAGTATTCTGATTTCAATGCAAACAATGGTCTTAAGTAAAATATTTATTTCATATCTTTCTATAAATACCAATGGACTTAGTTAATAAACTACGAAACTAAAGTTTAGAAAAAAAAAAACAAAGTGCAAATGTTTAAACAGACATTTATTTGGCAGAATAAATTAAAGCAGATGAAAACCAGAGGGGAAAAAAAGGAAAGAATATTAAGTTTTAATTCCGCTTATCAACAAAAACTTATGTCGACGGGAAAAAAGTTACATGAACGACAGAAGTAACCTCAAAAATCCAAGCAAACGAAAATCTTAAAGACAGTACTTAAGTCTTCTAAATTTCTTTTTGCTACTTTCCACGACACGAACGATTCAGGTTAAATTACCAAAATGCATTTCCCCATTTTTGCCACTTTGAACTTTTTCGATCTAGCCTTGTTGACAAAGCTTAAACCCCACGTCTACGTTCTACCTACCAATCGCTGATTGGCTTAGGATCCTGTCAATCGCGCGTACAACTAAAACACCATTGGCCCAAACAGTGTCAATAAACACACGGAACATACCGTTCTGTAAACCGTCCCCTTGTAGGCAGCTTCGCCGTGAAAAAAAATACATAAGCATACAAAATTACTGGTTAGCCCTGCAATAAACCTACTATAAAAACATCCAGAAATTATTTTTAGAAAGAATATAGACCGGGTAGCTGTCACAGTTGAGCAGTTTGGTTAGGATTTAGCTTACCGTTTAGCCCCGAGTCTCCGTTGTTGTCTGTAGAAGTAGTGTTAGCGTCGGACATCGTCGTGCCTGGCGAGCAGGATGGGTTGCATAAAAGGCTCGAGTCAGTGCAAAAGGCGCAGTGTTTTAGCTGCACACATTCAGAGTTGTAATAAGAGAATAGACCCGAGTCGTGTGCTTCTTTTTTTCCTTTTGTTTTTTTTTTTTCTTTAAGATGGGGGTTGAGGGGGACAGCAGCTAGCTAAGCTACAGCACAGCTGTCGCTTGTTTTCGAGCGTTAGCTGGTCTGGAAGCAGCCAGTCTCCTCGCGAGCCCGCTCACGCCTTCGCTCCCTCCCTCTCTCCGGGAAGCTGGGTGATGACATCACAGCCTCCCGTTGATAAGCGAGAAGAGAGGGCGAGTCGACATAACGAGGCGGAAAAAAACAAAACAAAAGCTCAGGATATTACGTGCATCAATAATTGGAAAACAGAAGATCCGAAGTATTTTTTTTTTAAAAATTCTCTCTCTTTTTTTTTAAGCATCGGGATTTGTTGCTCACGGGCTCTGCGTTTGCCATGCAGGACGGGACGTGTATGCCCCCACGTACACACGCGGTCAAGCCACGAGCCAGATGAATGTTTATTACCGGCTTTCAGCAAGTGGACACCCTTTCAGCTGATTTCAATAAACTTTCAGCGGCTGAATTTTATCACGTTCATCAAGTATTCCCTTAATCGCAACTGCACGTACGTCTTGCACGGTGAATGATGGGGCAACAGCTTTAAAAAGAAAAAAAAGTCCCCTTACCAACTGAAGGAGTTTAATGAGGTCAACAACAATGCTCTGTGATAATCCAGCTGTAACGCTTAGCATAACATCAGTTGAGCAGTGATGAGATCCCACCAACAACCAAGCATTCACAAGGATGCAAAAAGTAGTTCCTTTATTTTCCCCTCCCCCCACTGTCATTGATTAAAATTGTAGTTATACATTACTAGAGGCATCAATATACTCTTAAGTGTCCACTTTTTAAATAGGGTGTGGAGACATCCAAGTGCTGCAGATCTTCTGTGAGGCTCATTGCACCATCACAGTTACAGTATCAGTTACGTCTGCAGTAGTTTAAACACTGTAATGCCTCAAATCTTTTCTTTAAAAAAAAAAAAAAAAAAAAATTGCAGTCTCACATCACAGACATCCAAATACTTGAGTTGGTGCAGCAACAAAGTCCAGTGTCAAATTAGATGTTATTCCCTGTTGTGAAGTGCAGCTTGAGCTGAATGTTGTGGTACAGGATTGGGGGGGTAAAAAGCCATCCCCCCCTCAAAAAAAAAAAAAAAAAAAAAAAAAGTCACGTTTCGAGGTTAGGCTTCATCTCACAAAATAGGACGGAACAAACCTGTTGACTCTTTAACCTTTTTAATATAAATATGACCATCATAATTATCTTTGAATAGGCCTTCTCTGATACCTGACTATTATTGAAGACAAGAGAAAACAAAAAAAGAAAAAAAAAAAAAAAAAAAAAAAAAAAACAGGAGGAAGAGGAGCCGATGCACAAAAATATCACGATACACTCACACACACCCAAGGGGGAGAAAAACAAGAAAAAAAACACCAAAAAAAAAAAAAAACCAAAGGAGGAGCTCTTACTGAGTTTGGGCCTGTTTGGCCAACCAGAGCTTGAGGCACAGTGACAAACAGCAAGCAGAACAAAAATCTCACTGGACCAAATCTGAGCGGACAACAAAAAACAAAACAAAAAAAACAACCCCCAGAAAGCAGCAAAAAAAAGAAAAAAAAAAAGAAAAAACCACTGTACTTCTCAAAATCCTGGATGTGTCCAAGATGAGCAGCAAGTTGTGATGAATGTATGGTTTAATGAAAAAAAGGAAATGTGAAGACACTCAAAAACAGACAGCAGAACTGATGAATTTGTGAAAAAAAAAAAAGTGTACACAAAACAAAGGTCAAACTTTTCTTAGAAAAGTAAACACTACAATGGCACAGGATAATAATGGGACAAACTAGGGGTTTTTCATTTTCTACCATTTTAGGGGACGGGGGTATTTATAAAAATAAGTGTGTCTGTATTCAGAAATTTAAGGAAATTAAACTTGTTTCACCCACATTAGAAAAGTAAAGGGCAGGCGGGTTGGCAAAAGAAAAAAAAAAAGATGATGAAGAGAAAGAAATTGGCACAACATCACTTAACAACAAGGCAGGCATCACTCTGCCACAGACAGACTGATGATGGGCAAAAGCAAGTCCTCCTCTGTCCACATCTAGTGGCAAAGTCTGGTCACTCAGTAGGGCCGGACAGGGATGCTGGTTGTTGGCATTACCACCACAGATGGCCCTGGATGAGGCTGTGAGGCTGCGGGTGGTTACAAATGACATCACCCGCGCCAGATGTGACAAGCTCACCCTGCAATTAGTTCACTTTATCCTGGAATATGTAGAGGTTGTTGGTCGTTGCCACCGCAATGATGTTGTCCTGGGGATGCCAGGCAGTGTGCAGGATCTTCTTATTGAAGTCCAAACTATCCACGCTGATTTCATCCTTTTTGCGTTTGCCGCCTGTGCACACCTTGCGGGGCTTCAGGACCTGCATGGGCTTGCTGTTTTCACGGGACGCCTCCAATGTCACGTCCCGTCTGTGGCCGCGATCGAACATCCTGAAGAAGTTGTTATATGAGCCGGTCATCACCACACTGCCCAGAGTAGGTGGGGAGACGTGGGAAAAGTGAGAGTCATCAAATCAAGTTATCCAAAAACAATGTCCATTAGAAAATAAAGTTTAAACTTTGTGCACCACTAGTTTACAAGTGATGGGCAATTAGAGGACAACTCTAAAACTGCTTACACATCAGAAGTGATTCCCAGGTACGTGGTTGCCAGAAATCATAAGAAAGTTAAGGATAACTTCAACCAGGCTTATGGGTGAAATGACCACTGGCTATACAAAGTGGGCAGAACCTGGCAAGTCACTGAATCGTCTACCAATGGATAAAGACTACTTCTGACTGACACATGACGTGGTAATAAATATGTTATAGGGTTACATAGGCAACCGGAGGCTGAAAAGTCAATCAGCTTTAAAGCAACAAACAAATCCCATCCATTGTGTATATATTTAATATATTTTTACAGAAAACATCAGTGATGGTGTTACAAAAACCGCACCTTAGTGTTCAAGGGTTAATAATCATTTTATCACTTGTTCTTTGAAAGCTTTTTATTTTTATGTACCATTGCGTTGGTTTATTTTATTTATATCCAATGATTATAGCATATTATTTTTCCTACCTTTTATCATTTTTATCTTTTTACTGCATTTTATCTAGCTGTACTTTCCATTCATGTTTCTTCATTCAAATATATTAAATTATGCAATCTCTATGCACTTAAGTCATTTTTATTACATTTCTTTGATTTTTTTTTTTTTAAATTTATCTTTAATTGCTTATCATTGCATATTATTAGTTTTACTATATATTTGTTCTGTCTTATCAGCTTTGGCAGATATCTGTGAAGCACTTTGAACCTGAATGAAAGGTGCTACACAAACAGGGTTTGATGGATCGAGGCCAAATGTGCAGTGCACCAACCAAAAAGAAAGAGTGGGGGGAAAAAAACTTGCAGGGTGTAATCTTTAAAATCATGACAGCAATAAACAAAGTGCTACCTGAAAGATTATGTAATTTCCTAGTGTTATTATTGCATTTACCCCCTGTGTGTCTCAAACCTTTTACCTGTCATTGCCATTCCAGCAGCATTCAAACTTGTCAAAGATGCAGTCATTCTCATATAGCGAGCACAGCTTGCTTCTCAGGTACTCATGGACCTGTAATGATTTTTGTGGGTGGGGGGGGGGCAGAAACATGATGATAAGAAATTTTTAAATGAGACTTCCAAAAGACAAACCTCCAATATTCAAAATCTCCTGCACCCCCATAAAGTAGCAGAAGGTGCTTGAATCTGTGAAAAAGAACATCTAAAATGCCTGTCATTATCTGTAACCCTATCTTTCAGGGTTGGGTTCCCCCTAGTGGCCACTATATTACATTACCAGGAATGACTGGGCAAAAAAAAAAGAAAAAAGAATGGCCACTGTCCAACTGTGACATGAATTACCACTGCATATAATAAAATAAAAACTAAAAGTACATTAAAATCAAATGAGTAAATATGAAAACCAGAGTTTAACAGGCTGTGGACACTATCAGACAATATTAGGTGTCAATCCTCCTTCCTCTTTCCATGCATCACCTCTCAATCACATTTCCTAAAATATGCCTATAGCCTTTTCTAGCTGAGAGACATAGCAAACAGTAAGCGCCCACCTGAGATTATTACATTCCAGTAATGAAAAAAATCTATATGCTATTATTTCCTATGCAAAATAATGACAATAAATGATCTGTAATCATTTTGATAGTAAAATATTAGCAGCAAAATCACAAAGTTATTAACAAATTAATCGCCACAATTTGAAGATTCTGTGGCAACCAGGGCATCAGTGTATGAACCTACTGCCAGTCGTTTCATAACTGTTCATAACTGTGTAGTAAACCTGACACCACACACTAGTTTCTATTTGTCATTCTCACCTGATATGTCTCCACAGGCCTGGTTTCCATATTCAGGTCCCAAATCTTTACAGACAAGTAGTCTCTAGTCATCATGTAGCGTCCGTTGTGGCTAAATTTAACATCTGAGATTGATGATATGATCTCAGAGAAAAAGGAGCGATTACTTGGATCTTCTGGTTCCTCAAACACTGGATGACAGAAAGATGAAAAAAGTCAAACTGCAGTGTTCACCAAAAGGTCTGTGACATGAAAGTGCTTTGCATAACAAATCCAGTACTTAATCTGCCTGTCAGGGTAGAAGAAGGGACATATAAAAGTATGATGAGTAGGTACTCACACTTTGAGTGCTTGTCACATAGAGCTGAAACCCTCATGTCACACAGTCGGATGGTTCCTTTGCTGCTGCTGTAAACGAAGGTGTTACATTGATGAGGGTGGAACTCTGCTGCTGTGATCACCTCTGTAAGTTCCTCCATGTTAGCCGGTTTAATGTCAACAATATCTGAGGAGCATGCGGGTAAGGAGGGATAACGTCTTTCATACTCTGACACCTACCAAAAGAAGCTGAAGTGACTTTCAAACTGGGCGATTACAGTTGGTTTACTACCACAAGAGTTAATGGGCCATTTCAGGGCAACCTGTACCTTGCATGTGTGCATGCTGGAACTGCAGGAACTATCCCTCTGGGACCTCTGCAGAGCCATTGCAGGACAGTGTGACCCAATGTAGGTCCTGAAATGTTTTTTTCATGGAACTACAAGATTTCTTGGTTTGTCTTTTCCGTTTTCCCATTGCACTGAAGACCCACAAAGGACAGTCATATTAGCCACTGGACATGGCTACAGCTATGTTTTTCCATGCAAGACTTTAGAAAACAATGGACCAGGTTACATCTCAGTCCCCATCTTTTCTGTTCTGTGTCAGAGGTGAGAGCACACACGCAAACCAGCCACAGTAGAGTGAGTGAGGCAGAACCTTTCTGCCGGTTTGTGCTGAGGTGTAGGAATAATGATGCTTTTATGTTCACTGTTCACCCCCAGTTGGACAAAAACGTCAAGCTGATGACAGACAGGTTAATGCACAAGTCAGGTGCACAGACAAACATGCCCGCATGCATCTAAGGATACTGAAGCTGCGGTCAGTGATCTCGAGGTGCCAGAGGTTGATGCGGAGGTCGTCTGCAGACAGGTAGGTCTCGTTGTCGCTGTTGACTGAGACAGAGTTGATATGGTAGGTGTGAGCGTTGGCAAACACCCTCCGTGGACTGGCTTCCACCATGAGGTCCATGGGTTTTAAAACTGGTACCTGTGATGAGAAAAGGCAGTGAGAGTTAGCTGGCTCAAAGCTCTTCACAGATTTGAAACAACATCAAGCTATTAGCTAGATGAAAATAAGAAGCACCATCATATCTTTATACAGGAACACAGAACACAGTCTTAGCTTTGCAATAACAGGTTACACAAGGTTCTAAAAAGACAGCCCGGATTAGTAATAACAGTCATTTTTACCATCAGCAACAGCAAAGGATGACAAACCAGTAGCCCTTCCCAACTTCTGACACACCCAGGTTTTAAAAGTTTTGCTTCCAAAGAACTACTGGTTTGTCTGACTAACCACACCCTTGAACCAGCCAGTGGTTGATTTGAGAACTGACCCGCAAAGATGTGATAGTGTTAGGGTCCTTGTAGCGCCCATCCTCCTCTTTGAGATTGTAGCCCTCTGGCCTCTTGTCTCGTTCACTGATTTTCCACAATTTAATCGTTTTATCTGTGGAAAAAAAAAATGACATTTTAAATGACATTACCAACTGTCGGGCACACTAAATGGAAATGTTATTTTCTTATAGATTTATGAGATTTTTAAAGCAATTCAGGTCTTCATGTAGTCAATATACAGCAGACTTTCTTAAACTGTTTGTACTCTGAAAAAGTTGCCTTTTCACCTGGTGCTATAAATAATGAACTTTTTGCTCAGAGCCATCTATAAAATGCAAGTGTATGGTGTCTACATACATGCGATGGTGGTTTCACAAGAGTCAGGTAGCAATTTTATGATAGACAAAGTACTACTCTTAACTAACAAGCAGATTCATTAATTTCACCATCTTGTGGAGGAAATTATAATATTATGTTTTAATATCTAGTTCTCTTCACATCTGAGTCAAGTGTGACGGGGTCTATGAGTCACTCATTTCTCTTTAATGCCTGTATTCAAAATTAAACTCACTGCAGACTGTTGTTAAATATCTGATCATCAGCTTAATTAAAGAGAGAATTTTACCATTAGTTGACAACAGGAACTGAGCAGCATTCTTCTGAGGAAGCCAGCGAATCTTGTTGATTTTCTCTTCTATTTCCAAACTCTTCAAGTAGTCAAACTCTGGCTCGTGGCTCTGAAAAGTGCTGTAAACATTGTACTCGCTCCGGAACTGAGGCTGATTTTTGTTCTGTTGAGAACCAGAGATGAGTAAATTTGTTTAAAGGGTTTTTTGTATGAAAACAGACAAAACCATCTTTTAAATAAAGCCCACTATTGTTTGTTTACAGACATGCGTCCAAAAACTAGAATAATTGTTCTGACTTTGTGTCACCAAGTTCAGAGGATGACCTTTTCTAAAATGTGTGGGAATCAAACTAGGCAGAAGTTAACCACGACGCAGCTGTACCTCGATTTCCTGTTGGAAGATGACTACGCGTCCACCCTTGTCTCCTGTGGCCAGCAGCTCCCCTGTGTGGTTAAATTCAACTGTAGATATAATGTCCGCTGCAAAAAAATAAAATAAAAAGGACATAAGATTACATGTGCAATTTTAACATTTTGAAAGTGGTGTACCAAGACAGATGTGCCCCTCTACTACTCAGAAAGTACACCAGGAAACCACTTAGTTATTCTCAACTAACCCTGGATTTATCTTTGTGAGAATCAGAGAGGAGACAGGCAAGTGGCCCTGAAGATGCAGGAGGATGTCACAGCACGTCGGGCAGAATGAAAACGATTGCTAACCTAGTTTTCATCTTTTCTTTCCCTCTTACTCTGACAGAATTACACTTTCCCCCCCAGCAGCAGTATGCTGCTTTATACACTGAAGCTCACTCACACATAGACAGTTGTTTAACCCTTTGTTGCCCACTGGAGCAGAAAGACAATGCTCCAAGAAATTGCAGCGAGTGGTCATTGTTAACGACACAGTCCCTGAGGCCTAGAGTAAGGATTAATATATCCAAGCAAATCATTCTGACAGACTGTATTTGGTTAATTTTTAAAGTAAAGACATCAAAAATACAAATGCCAAATCCTAAAATAAGGTTAGAATGTGGCTTGAAATGACCTGAAAAGCTTGGGCATGCTGCTACTTGTAAAGCAGTGAAATAACTATATCAGTACTATGGTATTCTCTGTATGTTTTTTGTTGCAAAACTCCAGGCATGGTCATGTACCTGGCATCTAGAGAATGGCAACATGCTTCACGTGGAACTCTGTAGCAGTCTGACAGCTCCCAATCCTTTCACATGTTCTGTCAGTAAAGACAGTACATTTCTCACTTCACTGCATACAGTGTGGATATATATTGACTTTCATTATCCATCATTTTCATATCTGTGATAGCCATGTCACGTTACAGGTTATTTCCACAATAAGCTTATTATTTAGTTGTTTCCTCCACCATTGCCTGCAAAACAAGCTCAGACTGACCTCCCACCTCAAAACAGAATATTTCCATCCACATGCCTAACATCTGACTAAGTGCTCTTTTAATCAAATCCTGCTCCTTTTTTCCTTCGAACGTGCCTTTAGAGTTTGTGCTAGAAAACTCTTCTTGTATTTCTATATGATGGCCCATAGTTCATATCACCAGTGCTGTACAGTCCACCCATCTCTCAGCTAAACCTTCCTGCAACTCCTGCCTGTGCAATAATATTTCCATTTGGAAAAGGAAACATGCAGTCATGTTGCTCTTCCATCTTGTTTTGACTTCCACATTTGCCCATAATTTCCTCCTTCAAATAATTTTTTTTTTTTAAAAGCTGTAAATATGAGCTGAAGTGTTTTCATATCTTTTTATGGCCTTCCCCTACTTTGCTGACATCAATGACTTGTTTATAGGAGTCCATTGCTGTTGAGTCTTACCACACAGTTTAAAGACTGCAACAATCCACGAACTCTTTAGATACAAAAGTTACCCACAAGCTCAACAATATGTAACACTACAGCGCTCTCGCAAAATACTGGGGGCAATAAAGAAAGACGGACTTAAATATATATTTTTAAATGCTCACTCACTTACCAGTTAATTAAATACAAATATTGATGCTCACCTTCCATATAACTACATCACCAAAATTATTTAACAAAAATTAAGATTATAATATGATATAATTAACCAAAAATCCCATCTAACAGAGGTGCAAACCACTCTACAGCATCTGATAGTGGTTCACAGCTATTGATTTATCCTTTCAGCCTCTGAGCTTTTGTCCATCAGCCATCTGGAGGTCCCGTTTTCCAATTTTCCTGAAAAGTACGATACTCCCACAATGAGCAACCAAGAACAGAGTGCATGGAACAGCACAAGTGGCCCTGCATTATCAGCAGGTAATTATCCAAACGCCTGACTCAGCTCCTTTTTTTTTTTTTAAGCATTCCTCTTGAAAATGCTAAAACCTCCAAATCTAGTGGCTGATCCATGTACAGAAGGTACAGAAGGACCCAGTAGCGAGTTTCCAGCAGCAACCTAAATGTCTGCATTGCCTTTTTCAAAAAGAGCTTTCCAGTGACTCACCAATGGAAAGCCTTTAATGTAAAGCAGGAGCAGCATCAAGTGTTTGGGTTGCATCTCTTCAGTGGAAACTAGAAGGGCACTTAAAAAGCACAGTCCTTTACCATGGCAAACAGTCCGATCAGACTTTATAATCACTACATCACACATGTCTGAGCAGGAAAGGAGCAACATTAGATCAGTTCAATGTAATGGTTTCTGAAACAGCTGGTGTACTCTGCACCCCCCACCCCCATGTGGGGCCCCTTTGGGGAGGTTTCTTACAGAAATATCATTGCACATCCCTAGATTGATTGGTTAAAGGAGGAAAGTTTGTCAGCTCCTGGTGGTCTCCTAAAAGCCTGGGGCCACAGCTGCTTGGAATGTCTGTTCACAAGCTTCTAGTATGACTGAATTATGAAAAGAAAAACCGGGATTTGCATCAGCACCAATATTTTGTCGATTCTGCCTTAGCCTCAGACTCACTCTCTGGTAGATTTTGCATAATGCTGCCAACAGGAAACAGAAAAAAATGTCTGAATTTTCACCAAGGAATACCCCACTATGGCTAAATTGTGCAATATCCATTAGTCTGAATTAATCAAATCACTTACCCTCAGCTACGTCATCATCGATTGCTCCTTTCACCTGAGAGAAGCACCACTGCATGTCACCTCCAGGACCTACAGAAATACAATTATAAATATTTAGTTCTGGGTGGTGGCAGGTTTATTACATAACATTTCACATTCTGGACAATGTAAACAAGTTCCTAAGAAAACTTATCATTTGAGTGTCCCCTGCTGCCTGTGACAGCAAGGGATAATTGATAAGATGTTAGAAATTAAAAGAGACAGGGTTCTTGCAAAATGCGTGTGGTCACAGATGTGCACATATCCTCTCACAACTTCTGCAATTCTAGCCTCAAAGAAAACAGACAAAAATGTAATTTTTTCTCCAAACTAACATTAACATAAAGATATTACTGTTGGGTCACAGGCACATTAAGCAACAAGTAGAAACCGGCGATTTTTAAATAAATATAAACATGCTAGATCTAAGCCATGATTAGTTGGTAGTGGTTTCTCACTTTGAGATACAGAGTCTGGTTCAAATCTCACAAATACCAACTAAACTGCAAATGGTCTGGATGTGAAAGTAATTACACATTCTTTATTTTAGGCCTGGTCAATTGAGGAGGCAGATGGTCTCCTAATGCAGTCTCTTATTTTTAAAATCTATATCAACAAGACAAAACTTGCTGTCTGATTCAATAATAACTTCTAATCACTTGCCTCAACAGGTTCTCCATCAGCATAGCTCATTGCACAACAAAAATGTTTGGCATATTTTCCACAGATGATCGTTTCTCTTATTGGTTAAGTGGAAACTGGTCCGATTTGTCTTTAACAACATTGAAACACACGCGCTTTGAAGAAAAATGAAGGACATCTATGAGTCACCACGGATTCATCACACACACACACACACACACACACACATTCTGGACTGAATCATAAAAGTACTGATCTGGACAAAATGTAATAGCTTCACAGTGCCTGCACTTTCTGCAAGACAAAGATCCCAGAAAAGAAAAAGGCGTTCAAAATGAACTCAAAAATCTGTTTTAGAAGCAGGATAACATGCAGTGTCATTAATTTCTCCACCCTAATGAATCAAATGCATGTACCAAATATGTCACTAGATATTTCCTTTACAAGTATCAGTCCCGTCTGGCTACGGGGGGAGCTAAAGGCCAACACGATTTCAAACAACTACTGAGCTGATGAATGAACTGAAAATCAACACTGCGCTAAATAAACCCATTTCTGCCAGAGTCATGGTTTAGATCATAGTGCTTTTATTTCTTTCGCTTTGAGGTTGTTTTTTTTTTTTCTTCGTTTTTCCGCTCGAGCATGCGCGTGTTAAAAAAAACAAGCCTGATGACTTTTAACTCATTTTACGCAAAAACTGTTCAGTCTGCAGCAGGGCCTGGAGGGCTAGCCTGCATGTGGGTAATGTCAAAGTTTGAGCGAAGCCAATTACGGCATGCTAGGCAAAATTTGCCCTTCTGGGCATTTGTTTAATCTTCTCGAAATAAAAAAAAAAAAATCAACCTTAGACTAAAAATCTGAGCACTGAGGTTTTGGGGATAGCTAGCATATACGGCGTGCACAGTTAGCTTACGAAAATGGTCCCGGGCCGGTAAACAGCCAGCTAGCTAGCTAGCTAGCATTAGCCGGTAAGGGCAGGCCAGATGGAGGATGACACTTGAGTTAGCTGGCTAGCTAACGCTAGCACTAGCTAGCTACCGTTAGCTAAACCGATACTCGACTGCGAAATCTCGCAGTTACCGCAGCTAAGAGCTCCTAGGAGCGGGGTCTCGCTGTAAAGACTCAAGCCCGTCCATATTATTTTATGTGTAACGGTTAAAGTCAATTACCTGCCATAACGAGACAGACAGTGGAGCTTGCCTCAGTCAGTCACGATCCTGCTTCCCACTCCCACGCGCTGATTCGTGGGATCTGAACTTTTTTTTTCTTCCGCTCGGTATCCGCTGTTTGTGTGCGCAGATCGAAATGTCTGCGAGGCTTTAAATTAACCGTAAAGCTGGATGTTTTATAACTCTCCTTATTTTATTTCCCGCTACGCTCCCTGACGTTTCTCTGTGTGTCAATCAACCTCCTCTGCCTCTCTTGCCGCCGGCTACTTCGCATCCCACAAGTCATTTCTTCCCCACCCCGCACCACAGTCTCTTCCGCACGTGAACTAAAAGGTCTTTATAATGCGCGCGCACACAGCAAAGTAGATGCACGGGCACGCGCGTACTCACATCTGGATGAAGAGGGTATAAACGTATTCTGCATTAATACTGCAACTCGATACAAACCTTAAGGAAGTATTAATAGTTCTTGTAGTTCCTTGTACTCCGTTACAAGGATGACCAAATCTGAATCAAATCAGCATGCAGGTTGAATCTTATGAAAATAATAATAATAAATCACTTCCCAATACGATTACTCTGAATGTGTGTTGCCACAACTTGTGTCAATATATATGTACATTTCCTGAAAATATGACTTACAGTCTCAGTGAGGGAATCACAGTTTAGACATAAGACCTGAGCAAGAATGAAAGGGGAGGTAGAGAAAGGAAAGAAAGATGGTAGCAAGAGCTGTCCATGTGTGATGTTTGCAAAAAGGTATGAGGCAGATTTTAAAGATGCTAAGATTTTTACTGGAAGTTATTGGAATGGACAGGATTAGAAATGAGTGGTTCAGAGGGAATGCAGGTTTGGAGATGAGGTTAGCGAGATATGGTTGAGATGTTCTGGACATATACAGAAGAAGAAAAGTGGATATACAGGAAAATAGGAGTGCCTCAGAAGATGTAGTGAACGAGGACATGCAGTTAATGTGGCAGACTGCTTTACAGTCCCACCTAAAGTAGGAAACCCGGTTACCGCAGGCCAGATCAGACAGAGAAACAGTCAGGTGAAAGGTGACCTTCGGATTAGCAACTAATTAATCACTGCTTTTGTGGAAGAGGATGGATGGACGCATGGAAGCATGAGGAACCAGTAAATGTAATTATTTAGATGCAGAGGTGCAGAGGTGTTGGACATTGATATATTGACAGTACCCTGCTTCTACTTTTATAAATGTTTTTTTTATGTGTCTTGACTAATGTATTTCAAAATTTCTTTTTCACAGCAAATTTTACTGCAGTCAAAATTTCAAAACAAGCTCTTTCTCTTTGCCTCTTCCTTTATTTTTTCAGTAAGTTATGCGTACTGTAAAGGAACCAGTGTCTGTTAGCACTGCAAACACACAGGCCTTCAGATGGCAAAGAGATCGTTTCACCACCTACATGGATCCTTGAGATCCTTTATCTTCTTCAGGGGAAGTATGCCTACCGAAGAAAATAGAAATGCACCATTCCGTTATCTGTGCTAATTCAGGAACGCAAGAAATACCATCAAAAGACAAGCCTGAAGAAGAAAGAGACTGAAATGAATATTTTGTTTCTAAATGCTTGATCAGCTGGAGAGAGACACTACTGCCAAATATAATATCTTAGACTTAGTGAAGCTGTCAGTTCTTTGCAAGACAATTCTTTCTGACCCACTTTACCTGTCAGTGTTTTCAAGCCCGGTATTAGACATTTCCAGTTAAAACCCCATCTCAGTTATTATCAGCGAAAGTGCATCTGTTTGCTTGACCTTCTCATCAGAAAGCAGGAGACAAAGAAAGTTTAACTGGGGAGGTTAAGGACAGCAGATGGGAGTAATGGACACCCCTTGTGAATGCCTCTGATTTTGCACGGACCAGCTGGCAGCCAAAGTTTCATGTAAGTCTATTTTTAAGAATCATCCACAAACCCTGCAGCTAGCTGTTTCCACTGGGATTATATATTTAGTATTCTCTAAAAACAACTCTTTCCATCACTGTCTTGGGATCATGTCTTAGCAGGAATTTTAGTCGATGATAATGCCACCACGCTAAAGCTTTTCACAATATTTAGCATTAAACACAAAGTACAGCTGAGGCTTCAATTTTATATTTAATCATAAAGCAAAAGAATAATAAATGAAAACTTTAGCAAAGCAATGATAGCTGAAGAACTAAGAGGTCAACAGCACCATCACTTGGTGGAAATGGGAGTTTAAAAATATGAATGGTGACATTCAAGTACAAGGGAAGCCTGGGGTCACCCAAATTATTAGGATTTGTCCTCCTAAGCAATGCATGCCTGTACAGATTAGCGTGCCGGTCAACTGAAGGAGCACCAAAGTATTTCATGAGGAAAATGGAAAACGCCGACCTGCTGATCAGGATGTTGCCAGAGTCATTAGCAGTCATCCTCTGAGCTTTGTAAGCAGCTGCCAAGAGATATCACTAAAAATAAAAACATGCAAAAGAACATACAGCTACCAGATTTCCTGCATGCCAGGCTGAGGGCAGCATATGTCACTCTGAAAAAGCATGGCACGAAAACAAGACTTTCTTGTTGGGATGTTTTCATCCATGACTGGACGCTCCTCTGTTTGTAAATCGTCCAGCTCCAAATATTAGCAAGAAGAAGGAAATGCACATTATTAAAAGCAATTTACAATACAGTATATCTTCAAAGCAATTTGTTCTTTTCATAAATATTTTATTAACCATGTTAACCTGGAATAATTAAATACTTTGTTTTGTTTGTTTGTTTGTCTTTTAACTGGAGAACTTCTTGAACACCTGACAAATCAAAAACAAAAGAAATCTAATATCAATTTTCATATTTGAATTTTCATTTGTAACATTTTTTTTTGCTACATCGGGCATTTTATTCATTTATCTATTCATTTAGTTAGTTTGTTAGTTATTTGCAGTTTATTGACTAAAAATGTATTGTGCATTTTATTCTTTTTTTTTTCCTGAAAAAATAACCACACTAATGTTGTAGAAGTCTCAAAAACACAAATGTGACACTTTTTGGCTGATGCACATTTTTATGCTGCCTTGATGCTAAACTATGTTCATCATATTAGATAGTGTGAACGAGAAGCAATCATGCTTTATTTACAGGCACTCATTATCACAACATTTATTCAACATAAACTGTGTCTAAATATCCCCTAGAATAGTAAATAATAACAATAAGAATAATAATATTAACAATAGTAAGGGAATTTTCTAAGGTCTGTTTGTTATTGTTAAACATCACTCAAAAGTTAAACTAACTGCCCAGCCAACCACCTTTCTTGCTCAGTCACTCAAACAACCTTTGTCTGAGTATGCCAGTTAGGGGACTAAAAACTAGCCTGCTCTTTGCTTTTTAGGCCACAAGAGGGCCATTGATGAGCTTTTATTAGTAGAATAGGTAATAGTATGGTAGTATAGTAGTACCAGACAGGGGCAGTGTTGTTTAAGAAGCCCTCTCCTGAACGAAGAGTGAGTCGTGGCCGGAAGTTACAGTTGTGGCAGAGATTCTATTATAATACCCGTAGCAAAAGATAAATAAAAATACAATAAAAATAAACTCTCTCACATACAGGCACACAAAACCAATCAACCAAACAAAAACACCTTTGTAAGCTGTTGTTGTTGTTTTTTTCTTTTTCTTTCATAAATAATATTAAAATAAATTAAAATATTAAAATAGCCAAGCCAGTACTGAACCCCTAAATATGTAAGCAGCTATTACTTGTACCGGTTATTCTGTGCATCTTGTCCCAGCTACATTATACATAGACAGACAGATATGCAGCAGGCGGTGCAGCAGACAGGCGGAGAGGGTGTGTCATATAGTGAGTCCCGGGCCAGACCATAAAAAGCTGCTTTGCGCTCTGCTGAACTACCGACTCTGTGCTCCTGCTGCAGCTCAGGTCCACACCCGTCCGTCCGTTATAGACCCAGATCACAACCTCCGCGTTCAGGTAAGGTTTGTGTTATTAACCCACGTTATTCGAAGAAAATATGTAGCCTGACGCACAGATTGCAGGATGGTAATTTGATGCGTTATTTAACGCCCGTTAGTTCTGTCTGGATTATAGGTTTAACAGAGAGAGACTAACCTACAGGGTGAAATTACGGTTTTTGTTATACTTTAACCAATATTCTTCTTATCTAATAAATAGAAAAAGTGCTAAACTTAGCTTTTAATTAGCTATAATGCAAGGCAGTGTTGCCATATAAGGACAAGTCGACGGAAACCTGAAATGTTTCCTGAAAATGCAGTGTGGATGAAAACTGACGTCACACTCTGTCTGACTGTATTTAGAGTGACTTTCATGATGTGATGCAAAAACCCAAACAACATGTTACTATAGAAACATGCTGTTTTTCAGGATCTATGGTAGAAACTGTGAGATTCTACCTAGCAGTTTTGTATCCTAAAGCTGGAGTGTCGAACATATGACCAAAGGTTGGTTGTTGCAAAGCATGAAAATTACAGAAATCATTTAACAATTTGAGTTTTATTAATAAAGTGCACCGTTATTCATGGTGTGGTGTAGCTAATATCACTACACACAAACGCAGTATTATACAAAAAGTTTTACTGGTCTTAGATTAAAATGGGTTATGTATCACCCGTGGACTAAACTGAGTGTACCCGTCTGTCCTAAACACTAGTTACTGTGCTGTGGTTGCCACAGAAATGACGAAACAGTTATGAGCAGATCCGTCACAACATCCTCTTCGTGACAGTTGTAGCGAGCATATACTGAGTTCATCAGACTGTATGATGTGTGCAGAAGTTAGAAAGAACTGAGTCAGCTCCTCACTCCAGAGATTAAGTGGTGTCTGAACTACACCCTACTTCAAATTTATACGCCTTAAACAACAGTGTGCATGCTTTCTTTAGGGCTCATCTGGGGAACAACAAGAATGAGTGCATACCAAGTTGTGGTCAGAAGTTTACATACACTTATCCCGGGCATGAATGTTATGGTAATATTGGGCTTTCAATGATGTCTTTGAACTGTTCTTTTTCCAGGGTGGAATGATTGTACAGCATACATCTTTAATACCATTCAAAAACAAGAATTGGGTGCACAAGTTGGAATTTATTTTGGATTTCTTTACTGCACACAGAGTCAAAAGTATATATATACAGGTTCAAATATGTATTTACGCTCACTATATTTGGCTAAATGTCCCTTAGTGAGTTCCACCTTGACCAGATGTTTTTGGTAGCCATCAACAAGCTTCTGGCAAAAATTCTGGCTGGATTGACCAATACTCAG